CTATGACTAGGCTGAAGCACGGAACCAAATGGAGCGCGCGCCCGTGGAGGTAGGTCAAAGCACTGGGTAGCGGGACACCGCGTCAAATGTGTCAGCCACCGCGGTGAGAGAGCAGAAGCGAGGGGTGAGGGGCGGAGGGAGGGGGAGAGAGACCGAGAGAGACAGAGAGAAAGAGAGAGGAAGTGAGAAAGAAAGAGACAGAAAGAAAGAGAGAGAGACAGTGGAGAAAGAGAGACACAGTGAAAGAGAGAGAGAGAGAGAGAGACAGAAAGAGAGAGAGAGTGAGAGAAAGAGGGGTGGTGCAGGACGAATGAGGCACACTGCCGTCTCTTTAAACATCATTAGGGAAAGCCCAGCGCTATACTTCAACGTGCACATTTTAAACACGCTTCCTTTCTTATAGGTGCAATAAAAATATGCACTTTTGACAATTGATAAAAATAGGAGAAAATTTCCACAAAACAAACACTTGTTTGAAGCAGCCCTTTCTTTTTTTTTCTTTTTTTTTTGAAAAAAATTGCCAGCAGAGTGCCACTCTCCCAAAGCGGAAGCGCTCAACGTGGTGTCGCCGGTCGCCGCACCGAGACGAATCGGCGTCCCACCCGCGCAGTCCGCGCAGTCAGAGCGTGCGGACACCGAGAGTTCTGCGGACACATATGACGCTGACTGCTGACACTAGCTGCTGACACTCACTGCGGACTCTAACTGCGGACACTGATTGTGGAAACTGATTGCGGAACCTGACTGCGGACATTGGACACTGATTTGCGAACAGCAGGCCGAGAGGATTCCGCGGCCACTCCCGGTGGCCTGGGGCCATCGGCTTGCCGGTAGCCTTTTAGGGATCATCCAGAAAGTACGTCCGTCATTCGCCGTAACGAACCTGCCAAGTTGGGCCTGTTAGTGTTCTCATAGCGCCTGATAGGTAGGCAACATTTTTCCTGAGTGCATGCGTGTACTGCGGTACGGCCGACCCTGAGTCTCACGGGCGCCAAACTCCCGCACTTTGCCGAATAAATATGAGAGAAAGCGGACGTACTTTCTGGAGGATCCGCTATATCCCAAGGGCCCTCCACACCTTGGGGCTCTCTGCCTTAGCGCCTCCAGAGCGGAGCCGCAGAGGACCACGTGGAGACCACGCATCATGCGTCTTCCCCCCTCGCTGGTCGCCCGTCCTCCCCACACGGCGCGGCGCGCTGGTCCTGGAGTGCGGGAGAGGGCACAAGTGTCGGAGTGGTCGCACCGAACCGGGCTCGCTGCGCTGCGGTGTTCACCTGGGCGTGGGCGTATCCATGTCGACTGGAGGCTCCCGCCGCTGGCCCCGCTGAGCGCTGCTGGACTGGACGCTAGCCGCGCCGGGCGTCAACTGACCAGCCTGACCGGCGGCGCCCAGCGGAGGCGCCTCTGGCCGGGGCCTCCTGCCCCCGACCCCGTCCCCCCCTCCAGCAGTTTGGTACTCTGGGTTGCCAATGTGTAGACGATTCGTGGTACGGATCCCCTACAAGACGCTAGGGTTCATGCAGGCTCGTAGGGATGATCATACGGGGGCCGCAAAGGGGTGCCATCGTTCGCATCTCTGTCAAGCAGTGCCCGCTCCCACCGGTCATCCACGCGGTCACCTTCCTGGTCACTCTTGCGGTCACCCTCGCGGTCACCGCCGGTCACCGCCCCGCCCACTACTTACCGTGTCGTCGACGGGGGCTGGGGTGGCCACAGGGCGCGGGCCCGCGATGGCCCCGGCGGCCACCCCTCCAGAAGCCAATAGCCGC